AGGTTTTGACAACAGAAAATATACATATACATAGATTCCTTCCACCTCCCCTCCATCCCTATATCCATCTTTTAATTCTAAAAACTTGGTTTACTTATTCTCTTCTTACAGGTGTACCCTCACCTTCTACCCTAGATGAATCCTGATTCTAAACGGAGTAGGGGGACAACTTGGCAGCTATTGTTCACATCACATCACTCAGAGGGAGACCACTGAAAGAGTCCCACACCTTCCCCCTTTCTCTGATGTAGGTCTAGCAATAACTTATGGTCCTAGTTTGAATAGCCCTTCAACTATAAGTTCTACTTGTCCCTTCTCTCTCTAACCATCTACTTCAAGTCCTCCCAGGGACTGGTTTCTTGACCCAAAACTCTACACTTGTCAACACTGAACTAGTGTTATCTGGTGCCCCATCTTCTAGATGTTCACCACCACCAGTATGTTCTTTGATTCTATCACTAAAAATTACAAAACTGATGAAGTTTACAAAGCACTATTCCATTTGTTATTTCACCCAATCCCTAACATCTTGTATGCTTGGATATATATTTCTTCTTTTTTAAAATTGCTGTCAGTTGGTATATTTAATAGGCCATCACATTTCATTAACTTAGCTAACTCATTAGGCCTAATCAGACATGGAAAACAAAAAGCTAATGATCAAAGTTAGAAAGTAAAATCTGAATTCCAGAGTTGTTATTTGCAATACAGACCCTTGAATTCCTCAGAAATGGCTTGTTTATTCCAGAAGATTCTTCCCCCCAAATAAAGAAAATCCCTACATGATTCCTTGGCATAGTATCAGACCTTACAAAAAGAATCTTCTAGTACATGCACTTCTTTATTTTTTCCCTTGGTACTGGGGATGGGACCCAGAGCCTCATTCATGCTTGGCTAGCATTCTATCATTGAGCTACATCCCCAGCCCCTGTTACAAGTATTTCTTATCCTCATTTTAAGGATAAGAAGCCTGAAGAATTGTGACTTCGTCTAGGACAAAAGGATATTAAGCTACCAGAACTCATTTTTCTGATAGATCTGTGCTCTTTCACCTATACCCTATTGCCTACTGACTGTCCCTCTCCCTATCTTTGACCTCAAGTTCTCACATACTTGCTTTGTGTCCTTTGCCTCAGTATTCCATTTCTTAAATTACTGTACCTCCTAAACCCACAGATTCTCAAACTTTAGAGTCATCCAAAATTATCTAGGATGCTTATTAACTTGTGGATTCTGGAACCTCAACCCCAAGGAATCTGATTTAGTATAGTTGGAACAGGGACTCAGAATCTCCATTTGAGCAAGGATTCTTGGTGATTATGATGCAGAGTGTCCAAAATTTCCCTTGGAGAAATTCTGTCTTAACTATTCTGAAATAAGGCTACAATCAGATAATCCTCAAAGTAAAAATGCAGGGGGATTCTTTAGTTTGAGTGTTATGTTGCCTTGAGTTACAGGGCTCTTACCCAATGTGAAATGAATAATGTGGAACATTCAATCAACACCAGTTGTTCACCACAATAAAATGTCAACATTTCATGTCTTCTTTTCAAAATTCTTCTTAAGAATTGCTCTTTCCACGGGGTCCTGTTTAAAGGAATTATAGCCATGCCTACTTTTACAACTAACACTTCCAAATCTGTCTAAAAAAATATTTAGTGTACAAAAGTGCAGCTATAGCTATATTTGCAGTTGTGTGGAACAAATCCATTGCCTTCAAAATTATAAAGCTGGCTAATTAAAACTAGGAAACAAAAAAACCTCTACTGAATAAAAATAGAATTTTTAGGCATATAAGCAATGGAATAAATCACACATATGGAAAAATCAATAATTTGAATTATGAAAAAATGGAAAAAAATTGAAGCTCAAAAGCCATTACCGGCCAGGCACAGTGGCACACACCTATAATTCCCACAAATCGGGAGCCTGAGGCAGGAGGATCATGATTTCAAAGCCAGCCTCAACAAAAGCAAGGTGCTAAGTAACTCAATGAGACCCTGTCTCTAAACAAAATACAAAATAGGGCTGGGGATGTGGCTCAGTGGTCAAGTGCGCCTGTGTTCAATCCCTGATAACCCCCACAAAAAGCCATTACCAAAGAGAAGAACCCAAAAGACAAGCCACAAACTGGGAAAATATTTGCAACAAACATTGAAAAAGGATGATAGATTTGATATTTTTAAAACCCACAAAAATCAAAAAAGGAAAATAACAAAAAGCAAGAGCAGAAATAAATATACATTAGACAAGTTTAGAATTTAATGGATATTTATACAAATATTTATATATGTATGTACTTTTCAGTGCTAGGGATAAAACCACCAACCCAGAGCATGTTAGGCAAACAATCTGCCACTGAGCTACATCTCCAGCCTATGGATTTGTATTTTAAATGTTCAGCATTTTAAAGCACCAGTGATATGTATAATTTTGTCAATCAGATTAGGAACTTTTAAATAATTAATTGGGAGAGAGTCAGTGAAATGGACACACACAACTCAAACATTGCTAGTAGTTGGGTAAGTTGGTACAAAATTTCTTTTAAAAAATTAAAATTTCTTATGAATGCTTCTTGAAAAAAAAAAAAAAACACCACACATTCTTAGACCTAGTAAGTTCCTTTCTAGGGTTTTAATCTAAGGAAATAACAAGCAATTCAAATACAGGATTAAGAAGAGAATTATTACTATTATAATTATTATCATCATTATTATTTTTGCAGTGCTGGAGATCTAACCAAGTGCTAGGCAAGTGTTCTGCCACTGGGCTACACCCACAGCCCCAGATTTTTTTCTTTTTGTCAGTACTGGTGATTAAGCCTAAGGACACTCTACCACATTTTTATTCTGAAATAGGGTCTGGCTTGGAACTTGCAAACCTCCTGCTTCAGCCTCCCAAGTCACCGGATCACAGGCATGCACCACCACACTTGGCCTCAGAATTGTTATTTTTTGCAACACGGGGAATTGAACCCAGGGCCTTATGCATTCGAGGCAAGCACTCTTATTACTAAGCTACATCTCTAGCCTCCCAGAATTTTTTTTTAAACCTACTAGAAATGTAATAAGGCCAAGTCCTCAAATAAGTTTTGGGCATTTTAAAAAATATTTTATTAGTTGTTGATGGGCCTTTATTAGTTGTTGATGGACACAGTGCCTCACACACACTAGGCAAGCACTCTACCAGTGAGCCACTACCCAGCCCCCAGAATTATTTTTAAGAGGGAAAAATTATAATCAAATTGCATGTCCAACAATAAAAGAATGCCTTAAAATAAACAATCCATCATATATCCACATATCAGAATGTTATGTAGCAATTTTAAATGGTGTCCTCAAGCATTTAACTTCACTTAAAAATGTTTCAAAAGGACACTTTGAAAAAGCAAGATGCAGAATTTTATATATAATATGACCACAATTTTCTTCTAAAAGATTTTATATGAACATAAAAAAGCTGTAAATAAATACATTAAAATGCTAACAGCTGTTATCTCTGAGTGTTGAAATTTTTATTTTCCTTTTAGTACTTTTCTGTGCTATCAATTCTCTATAATGACCATATGTTAGTTTTATAATCAGAAAATGCAATAAAAGGTATTTCAAAAGTCCCTCTGAAAACATAACCAAACAAAAGAAAAGTTGTCAACTTAATTAATTTATAATTTGCAAGTGACAGAGAACACTCACCATTTGTTTCTGTAGCAGGCACTGGAATCCATTTATGGAATGTCAGTGACCTTAGTCTCAAGACAACTGCTTATCTGTCTCCCTAATTGAAAGAGGAGGATATGGAGAAAAGACAACAGTCTCTGGGAACAGATGTCTGGAGGGAGATAAAACAAGTATCAGAATAAAGTAAAAGAAAATTTTTTACTAACAATACTTAGTCTAACTTTGTTCTTTGTTAGGATTCTTAGACCAAAACATTTGACCTTGTACACACTGGTACGCCAATTGATCAATATAACTAACACCACTAATATTTACAATTTCTTTAATTTAACAGGAAAGACTTTCCTGCAAAAATTTTAAAAATGTAAACATGAAAAATGTTTTAACCTTAAAATATAAGGGTTAATTTTGATAACTGAAGGACTGAAAAGGAAGATGATATGTGCTAGATTACTTGACCCACCTCATCAGAAACCAACTTTGCATGAGAAAATACCAAAGTACCTAGTCAATATCCATATTCATTGTTTTATTTTGCAGTACTGGGGAATCAATTCAGGGCCTCATAAATGCTAGGCAAGTACTCTATCACTGAGCTAAATTGCCATATTGTATAGGCTAATGTAAAACTCCTGGGCTCAAATGATCCTCCTACCTCCGCCTCTAAGTAGCTATGACTGCAGGCATGGCCACTATGTGTGGTTCCATGATAATTTTATATTGATAATGCTATCTAGAAAGACCCAGGGGATAGAAATAATTCTGATATATTATTTGTTATCTGAATACTCAACTGGAACCTAAATTTCTTCATATTAAAATCAGCTGGACAGGGGCTGGGGTTATGGTTCAGCTGTAGAGCACTTGCCTAGCATGTGTGAGGCCCTGGGTTCGATCCTCAGCACCACTTAAAAATAGATAAATAAAATAAAGGTATTGTAGTATCACATCGGTTCCGATGTGATACTGCAATCTGTATACGAGGTAAAAATGGGAGTTCATAACCCACTTGAATCAAATGTATGAAATATGATATGTCAAGAGCTTTGTAATGTTTTGAACAACCAATAATAAAATAAATAAATAAAAATAAAGGTATTGTATCCAACTATAACTAAAAAATGAAAAATATTTTTTAAAAAATCAGCTGGACAAAGAAAAATAAAATGGGATTGCTTCACGTGATGCGGGAGGGAGGCAGAATCAACATTTTCTTCCTAGCTCCATAGGAGCTCATTATTGGAGCATTCACAAACTCAAAGGAGGAAATTTGACTTGGCAAGTGTAATTGTCCATACTCAAAGGACAAGTTCAAAACTGAGGATTCTTTTGGTTTGCACTAGGATAAAAAGAGAAAAAAAAAAAACCATGAGCTTTTTGTCTGTTTTTAGGTGGCCCAAATTGAAATAGGGTATGCATTCATCTGTTAAAAAAAAAATCATGAAAGAGCTGGTGGTATGGTATATACCTGCAATCCCAGGTACTCCAGGTCCTGAGGCAGGAGGATCTTAAATTAGTGAGACCATATCTCAAAATAAAAATTAAAAAGGATTGGGGGTGTAGTTCAGTGGTAGATGCCCTGTGTTCAATTGCCCAGGCAAAAAAAAAAAAAAGTATAGCCAAGGGACAGAGGATGTATCTCAGTGGTAGAGCACATGACTACCATAAATGAACCTCAATCCCCAGTACTGTGAAGAAACAAATTTAAACCAAACCCAATATTTTGGTAAAACTTCTGGCAGTCAACTCAGTCTCTTCATAATATTTATTTGCTCTATAATCAAATTTAACAGCCCATCAAAAAGATCATATACCATCATCAGGTTGGCTTCATTCCAAGGATGCAAGGTGGTTCAACATATGCAAACCAACAAAGTAATGCATCACACAAATAGAATGATGGATAAAAATCACATGATCATCCCAATAGATACAGCTGAGGTGCCTGTTGAAGGATAAAAAAGGGGGGGTGCCTATATGCACAATGGAGTATTATTCAACCATAAAGAAGATTGAAAAAAAGAAAATTGAAATCTTGTTATTTGCAAGAAAATAGAACTGGAGGACATCATTTTAGTGAAATAAGCCAAACACAGAAAGACAAGTATCACATGTTCTCTGTCATATGTGGAAACTGGAGGCGGGGGGGGGGGGGACCTGAAAGTAGAAGAGGGGTTACTAGGGACAAGGAAGGGGACTGGGAGGAGCAGAGAAGGGAGGGATGACAAAGATATAAGGATGTATAGACATGATCAATGCATAATGTATGCATGTATACAAATATCACAGTGAATCCCATTAATTTATACGATTAATATATGTTAATGACTACCATAATAAAAATATATTTATTTGTTCTATTGTATACCTGGGTCTTAGGAACCATAAATACAAAGACCCATAAGAAAGGTTCACTGCCTTTATGGAGCTATTGCAGCCTAGTAGGGGAAGTAGACAAATCAACAATAACAATAGCAATAAGAGCTATGTTATGAGAATGCAGAAATAAAGCTTTATCTCTGCCCAGAAAGGCTGAAGAACTAATCTCAAAGGCATGTCATTTGATGTAAGGATTGAAGGGTAGGTAAGGGTAGGTAAGTGAAAAAGCAACATAAGAGAGCTGAGGATATAGTTCAGTTGGTAGAGGACTTACCTGGCATGAATTAAGTCCTAGGTTCAGTCCCCAGAGGAGGGAAAAAATAGGGAACATGAAGGCAGGTCTCACGGAGGGAAAGAAGGTAAGTGGTAAGTGATGAGGTACTATGTACCAACAATTTCTATTTAGGCACTATATTCAGTATTTTATATATGTTATATTTAATCCTTCATTCAATAGCAATTTATTGAGCACATGCTATATACCTAAATCTATGCTGAAGTGTTAATTTTCATGTGAGGATACCAAGGCATACAGAAACAAAGTAATTTTCCCAAAGCTACATAGATAGTAAGAGACAAACAGATTTAAAGATCTGACTCTCCTAAACACCCATCTTCCATTCTATCTCCCAAAGCTAGATTATACAGGTATATAGGCATATTCAGGAAATGATGGAATATCTGGTTTGGCTTGAATATATAAGGGAATGCGGGAGGGAGAGATGGGGTGAGAAATGGAAGTAGACAATTCATGGAATATTCCACTACTTTGCATGTTAAGGTTTACATATCTGATCATTTGCATTTGATTATAGAAATGGATAAATCATTCCTTTTTTGTGACTTTCCAGAAAGATCCTGGAGTGGGTACAATAAAAACTTTCTGAAGTTTTTTAAAACTTATGACCCCACAAAGTTGAAGGGAAAAAAGTCAAGAAAGAATTAAAATTGATTCTCAATGCTGCCATATTTTTTACTTGCCATTAATTTAAAACATCACAAAACATGAATATTTATCACAATATTGCTTTCTAAACAATATTCTAGGACCTAACCAATGATCAGAGAACAGCTATCTTCCTGGTACAGTGTCACACACCTGTAATCCCTGGGACTTGGGAGGCCAAGGCAGGAGGATTGCCAAATTGGAGGCTACCCTCAGCAACGATAGCAAGACCTGGTCTCAAAATAAAATATTAAAAAAGGACTGGAGATGTAACCCATGGGTTAATCCTCAGTACCAAAAAAAGAGAGAGGAAGAGGGAAAACGGCTATCTGAAGCAAATATGAAGAGTACTAAACAAAAATAACAGTGTTATGTTGCATCATAACCACATTGTATTTAGTTATTTTAATGTTTTTACATATCTAAAAATTTTCCAAAATCTGCATATTCCTTGAAAACTCATTGCTTATAAAATTATGTCTCATAAAATGATCTATAAACATTTTAAGTAATGTTGCAAAGTGTTTTACAATAAAAATTGAGTTGGGGGCTGGGGATGTGGCTCAAGTGGTAGCGTGTTCCCCTGACATGCGTGAGGCACTGGGTTCGATCCTCAGCACCACATAAAAATAAAATAAAGATATTGTGTCTACCTAAAGCTAAAAATATATATATTTTTTTTAAATTGAGTTGTCAAGTACTACAAACCAGCAGTCATTTAATGGGATTTATATTAAGGCGTCAGGCAATAAATGATCATGGAAAAGAATCATGCTCCATATTGAGATTGAAAACATTTGTTTTAAGTTTGTAGATGTCAATGTTTAAGCAAATATTTGGTTGCCCTGGAATATCAAAGCATTTTATTAACTTAATTTTTAAAAATTTTATTGGTTCTTTTTAGTTATACATGACAGTAGAATTCATTTTGATTTTTTTATTAGTTGCTCAAGACAATACAATGATCTTGACATATCATACATTTGATTCAAATGGGGTATGAATTCTTATTTTTCCATGTGTACAGATTGCAGGATCACATTCGTTATACGGCCACGTATATACATACAGCAATACTAGTGTCTGTTGTATTCTGCTGCCCTTCCTATCCTCCCTCCCCTCCCCTCCCCTCCCATCACCTCTCTCTACCCAATCTACTGTGACATATTTCTCTCTCTTTTTTAATAGAAATAAAACAAATTAGCTTATGAACATGATACTATCATTTTATATAATTTTTAATAATTGAAAAATGTTATTAATAGTTATGTACTTCTTGAACTTATATAACTTTGTGCTTTCATGCATGTTATAAATTATGCATCATTTCCCCTTTTAGAAATGAAATTTGTATTTCTCATTATTTATGAAATGCTGTAAGACATTTAATGTTGGAGTCTGTAAACAAGTCAAAATAACACCTGGCATTTTGCCAGGGGAATGTTAGAGTTCGTAAACAAGTCTGGATGGTGCCTGGCAAAATGCCAGAGGGAGTGGTTTGAGAAGTAACAAAAGCGAGCCATTAAGTGTAGAGATTCCTTATTGGTTGACTGATGTATCTAGTTTATGCTAATTAGATAAGCTGTGTGGAATATATAAATACTGCTCCTGTCCTGCAATAAACGGCTCCCACTCCTGCTGTATCAACGTTTACAAGTTATTCGTCACCCCCCGGTTATTTTGCTGCAGCCGGACTGCGGCAATTTAAAACAAAAATTACAGTACTAACCGTAAGCATTCAATTAGCCCAATTTTCTGATCCTGCACTTTGGAGGCTGAGCTGCTCCAAACCTTCAGAGAGTTTTCTTACCTACAAACAATATTGGGTTGATATAAATATTAATGAAGGTGTTGATTTATTTTTGAAAATATGCATTTAATTCAAAAATAAATATAGGAAAGACCTTAACATTCTGAATCATTTCTGGTAAATAGAATAATAATAAATTGCTAATTTAAGTATTGCAAGATAAATTTAAAGGGAGAAAGAATCATTGACAACTGGTTCTAGTTTTGCACCTCCACTCTGTATATCTGGGGAGCTCCAATATATGTTGCTGGGAGATAGGCCAGACAGGTAGTCATACTGGGATTTTAAGGATGTAGTGTGGGGCCGAGGGTATAGTTCAGTGGTAGAGCACTTCCCTAGCATATATGAGGCCCTGGGTTCCACAAGGAGGGAAAAATAGGGAATATGAAGGCAAGTCTCACAGAGGGAAAGAGGGTAAACGTACCACAAAATAAATATCCATGCATGACCAAAAATCATCTCGGGCCACCAGGAACTCCAGCCCTGCCTTACATGCCTGTGGCACCACAAAATAAATAAATACTGCCAATCCTTTGCAGTTTGTTACTGATGCTTCTCTCTTTGGTGGATTTTTTTTTTTTTGCTCTGTCAATGTTAAAATTTATATTAATCCAGAATGATTTTGACATTTTAATAAGAAGTACCTGCTTCAATCAAGGTAAAAAAGAAATCCAAAGGAATAAATAAGGATGAAATTTATTTCTCAGATTTGATGAAGAGAAAGGGTTTCGTTCTCCTTTAACAGAACAGAGAGGATCTTGTATATTTAAAGGGAAGGGAAGGGGAAAAAAGAGAATTAAGAAAGCAAAGTAAATGAAGTCTTCCTATTGTATGACAGAATGACTTGACATGGGACCTCTTCCTATTGATGTGAATAATTTACTTCAGCCTTCATTCAATGTAGTGAATTTCACGTCTCTTAGTTTCAAAGTCACTAGTTAGACAACAGACTGAAGGGATGCGCCAAATAAGGGATCTTTGCACTGTTGTGTGATCATTTGGGACACTATCTCAAAACTAACAAATCAGGTTGGGGCTGTAGCTCAGTGGCAGATGTTCCATGCCCTGGGCTCTGTCCCCAGCACCTTCAGAAACAAAACAAAAACAAATACCTCTCTGCTGAGGTTCTATTCAGGTTTCCTTTGCCTTCCTTGCTTCCTTCTCAGATTAAATCTTTAAAGCTCAGATTTTGCATTTCCTTTGGTAATTCTTTACCTGCTATTTGAACTCAGCCAGTCCCCTATTGTTTGTTTGTTGAGCCAGGGTCTCCGATATTTTCCCAGGCT